TACCAGTCGACAGCAGCTTTTTCACATTTGACGGGTAATTGTTTGGCAAAACCTTCTTCGACATTTTCAGTTCCATTTTACTGGGGCCTGGAGGAAACCTGCTGCTCTCAGCACAGCCTTCCCAGCTATGTGCAGATGTCTCCGTATAAGCATCGTCAACCGAGGATGGTTCTGGTTTACAGTCCTTGTCAGAGTTTCCATAAGAATGAACTTTGTCAGCTGACCTGGATGCGTCATTGTTGTCCTTTTTTTTGCTGAATTTGAACGTAATTTTCTTAATTCCAGTTGAACTAGCATGCTTAGGAATTTCAATCACAACCCGGGAGACTTCATCATCATCACACACATCAACATCATTCCGAGACATGTTGTTCTGGCAACGAACTCCATCGCTTGAAGTATCCTCTGAGCTTGAATTTCCCGAACAAGCCGACGTAAGGTCCCCACGCTCAACTTGGTTGGTATTTTCTTGCTCGTCTGGCTGACTGGTAATATCTTGGAAATGATTCCCTTTCGGAGAAATTACAGGATTAGAAACTTCTGAACGAACGTCTTCATTCGACACTTCTTTTGCCTGCTTCTTATTGTGAAACGACTCAGGTTCCGTATCTTCATCGAGATACTGATGGTCACGCTTCAATTCGGTACTCGAAGCGCTCTCTTTCTCCAGCGGCTTATTTGCAACTGCAGCTAAACCAGCTGCTTCTTCTCCCATCCAATATATATTCTTCCAAGTCGGTAGAGCCAGTAGCTAAAAATACCGCAAACCGAATCGGCAGCATCCAAAAAGCCCAAACAGAGTGGAAATGAACATCCAAATTCACGTAAAAGACGGACTAAAATTCCTTAGAGCCTGAGATTTCGAATGCTAAACTTCAATACAACCTGAACTAAACCAAACGAAGAGGATATCATTAAAAAAGAAAACGCCATTAATTCCCAAAATTAACCGCCAACGGTTACCATAAAAACAAAAACGGGGAGTTCACACGTAAAATTCAAGAAATCTAACCTCGACGCCATTCTTGAACCCTGTATAGCAAGAATCCGATCAGAAAAACTCGGAATCAAAACAAAAAAACCAATAAAATCCAATCCAGTAACACCAGAGCCACCGATTGAATTTCCAACAACTACGATCTGAGATCTGCCAGGTCAGAAACAAATTTCAGGTCTCGAAACAGTAGAATCAGAATCGAAATAAACAAAAAGCGGATTGGTTAGGGCTAGGGTTTTGTCCGCGAAAACCTGAAAGAGGAAGAAAAAAAAACGAGAGGGAAGAAGCAGAGCGGCAAAAAAAAACTGAAATGAGAAGGCCTTTTGGTTCGCGGTCAAGATTTAGCTTTGTAAGAGATAGAGATAGAAATAAAAACAAAGCTCCCGTAAGAAATAAATAAATAAAACAAATATTCATTTATTTTTAAAAAAACATCAAAAAATAGTAAAGTTCGTCGCGATTCACGACCTTCAGAGAGAAACGATATGACAGTTGGAAAAGCCCATCGGGTCTACTTTTTTAATCCAATAAGAAACTACCACGTGTTACTACTGCCCCAGCTAGTGTGCTTACGTGGAAGGCTCTTTGTAAATAGGCCGACCTTATTGGGCCGAGCCCAACTGGACTCTGGATTCTATTGGACCAAGGCTAAGGGATTATTAACAAGATTATCCCACAAAATTAAATTTTAATAAATTATTTAACTTTTAATTTTATATATTATTGGTCTTAAAACTTTTAAATTTTTTTAATAAACGTCTGAATTTTTATAATATAAGAAGATTTAATTTCTTTTTATATTTAAAAAAAACTTAATTATTTTTTAAGATTCAGACTTATTACACAATTCTTAAAATTAAAAAATAAAAATCTATATCTTATATTTGAATTAAAATAAAAAAAAACACCAAAAAATAATAATAATTAGAAATAAATATGGTCCAATTATAATTGCGTGGGTGAATAAATTTGAAGACGTAAATAATAAAAAAAATTATCTAAAAAGGTAACCTAACCCTAACCTAACGGAATTATAAATTACGGTTATTTTTAATAACGCGTGAGATTTAAAACCTTATCCAAACGAACATGTGCGTCCGTTCCGTTCATTAAATTGCATTACTACAATGACACTCTTTGGTGCATGAATCGTAGGGGTAGTTTCGAACTTTCTCCTCACCCTTTGTGTAATTTAATATAGTTTCAATATAAAATTAAATTATCTATTATAATTTAGGAATATATCGAATATTGCCGTGGAGAGATTCAAATTCGTTATACAATAATAATAAAAATTATAATAATTAAGTTTAAATTATTAAACTTATAGCTATTAAATTATTATTTTATTTTGTTTAAGAACCGCGTATATTAAAAATGGAACCATAATGTAAAAAATTATTGAAAGAGGAAATATGTAATTTAAGTTAATAATTAAATGTATATAAAGACCGGTCAACTCTACGGTTACGCCCGCGACTCTCACTATTTCTCTGTTCTTCTCTCTTTCTTTTCCCAAATCCGCGCTTTCAATTCTCAAATCTCTCCCGGAAAATGTCGCAGCGATCGGGCAGGCACCAGAGGAGGCCTTCGCAGGGCGTTTTCATGACCGCCGATTACCTTTCCGAACCACCTCCGCCGACCGGACCGCCCATGCCGGTTGAATCTGTCGATCCACAATCGAGTTTCCTGTCTCGGCCGCCGCCGCAGAGCCGCTACGCTGATCCGCCGGCAGCAAGGCCTCCTGCTCCAGCGGTGTCGAATGAAGCTCCAAATCCGGCAAGCTAGCGGATTCGACGCGTCGTTTTGTTCGATCCGAAGATGAAGATGAAGATGAAGTATGTTTATGTTCGATTTGTTTCGTTTCGTTTTTTCAATTTTTTTGGTAAGATTTGGTTTAGTTGTGCATGGAATATTATCTCACAGAAATTGTTGGGAAATTTGCAGTTAAATCTTAATTTATTTTTATTTTTTTCCTTTTATTTTAAGCTTTCAATTTAATCGAAGAAGTATATTAATTAAATCTTTATTTACATATTAATTCAACCGATAAATAATAATAGTTATTATTTATAATTATTTTTTTTTCACATTTTCATTCTTTAAAAAAAAACGAACAACTTTTGAACTACACGAGATCTACTCTGCCCAATGATTGTAGATTTATTTTGTATTTTTATTTTAACCCTTTTTAATTAAATATAACAATTTAAATCAATATTTGCTATTTAGTGACATTATTATTAAGAATTAACAGTGTGCAAGTGGAAAGGCTTAAGAGTATTTAAGGTTAATCAAACTATATACTAAATAATAGACATTTGTATTTTTTTATGTAAAGCAGTAAATTACAATCGTGCCATTTAATTAATCGCCCCCACATGCACTAATTTTATTGAACTCATAATTAAAAAAATAATTGAAGCGAGTAAAAGTCAACCTTTGATCATCTTTGGATTAGGTTAAGTTATGCAAATTTTGTAGACCAATTCGAAATTTTAGACGGATGGGTTCTCCATTCAGACTAATGTGATGAGGTTGGGCAACCCAACCTATTATGATCGTGATATCATTAGGGTTGAGTCTATTAGGCAGATTAGACTCTGAGTTGAAAACCCTAAAAGTAGGGGGCGATCTAAGAGACAGACGACGAGCGGTGATGAGGACGAAAGGCAAGCAGTAACAAAGATGAATAACGAGTAGCGTCTAAGATGAACAACGAGGTGTAATAAATAAGGCAACACAATGTGAAGATGAATCGAGCATCGAGTAACGATGATGATGAACAACATGACAAGAATTCAAATACTTTTAGTATATATGAAGTTTATTACGAGAAAACAAACACAGGTTCTATTAACTATAAATCAAAAGTAATTATCAAATATAACTTAAATAATCATTATCGATTTATTAGATTACTTTTCGATATCAACTTATGACTCGTTAGTTATGTCATTCACTATGGAATAAAAAAAAAAAAAAAAAAAAAAAAAAAAAAATATATATATATATATATATATATATATATATATATATAATGAGATGCATAATCATGTGACACAACAATTAGAAAAATGTGAAGCAAAGGGAAGGATGTGCTTTTTATTTATTTATTTATTTATTATATTTAAAAAGGAAAAGAAAAAAAGGAATTGCGTTAGATCGACGCAGTGGAAGGAATCTCGAGAAAGGAGATAGCCAATTATTTTATCCCATTTCAAAATTTAAATAAATTTGTAATAAATAATAATTAATTATTTCAACTAAAGAGCAGCGTGGGGCCCACCGCCGCCGAGCCGCTCGCCGTATCTACGAGCCTTATAGCCTCGCTCTACTTTACTACGCCTTGTTTTCTTTCTTTCTTTGTTTATAAATATTCAAATATTATTTTATTTGGAATTTTTTTAATTGTTGTCGAACATTTTTGTAATAAGTCAAATATGGAGATAATAATTTTTTTTTACTATGATAAATCTTTATTTTATATTTATAGTTAGATTAAAAATATTTATGAAATATAAAATTAAAAGTGGAGTGACTTATTTATTATTTAATTTAGAAATTTATTGACCGAAATTGGTGGTCATAGTAATTTAATTATTTGTATAATATTAAATATTTTATTACAAGTCAAATTAAGTTTGACTTAGATAAAAAAACAAAGAGGAATAATAAATTTAAAATAAAAGATAATAAGGTTAATTGAAGCCGGCTTATACCGAGCCGCGGCGCAGTCAGAGGAACTGCCCCATGCTTAATGTACACGTGGCGAATGTTAGTTGGATAGTCAGCATCTCATCGCCAACTCTCACATGTAAATCACCCCCACGAAAGCGTTGCCCCGGAGCAGTTCCCGGAAAAAAAAATTCACTATAAAAGCCTCTCTAGATTTTCTCTCATTTCTGAACCGCGTTCTTCTTCATCTTCTTCATCGGAGCTTCGTTCTTTCTCTTCTCAAAATGGCGAGTCCTCTGAAATTTTACTGACTCTGTTCTCTTTCATGGTTTGATGATCTGTTTAGTTCTTGAGAATGTTCGATTGCATTTCTAGTTCGCCTCTTTTGAAAATTACTGCACTCTCAGTTTCTTGCATGTATTTCTGAAATTAAATGTGTGTGGAAGCTTTGAAGCTATGTTTCTAGATTTGAAGTTTTGATTTGCATGCAGTTTCATCGGCGATCCGACTTGAATTTTACTGTGATTTTTTTCAACTGAACGAAACGTTGTTTTCTGTAATTTATTATCAAGTTTGAGTGATCGAGTGGCCGTGGATCTACAATGATTTGATCACTTTTTTTGTTTCTCTACTTCTAGTTTTGTTACATTGAAATTTCTGTCAAGGCTTGCTGTTATAAGTTATATTAGTGTATTTCCCCTTTCTGAGTTGCTATTAATCTTCCTGTGCATGTTGTTAATGAAGTGAAAACTCTGTGAAGTTGCGATGCGTACAAGGGATCCATATTTTTGTTGTGCCTTTGTTTTAAATTTTGGTGGAAGTCAATATCAAGATATGGATAAGATCTTATGGGGGAAAATCCTATACTTCCCCATATTCCTATGTTGCGTGATCATCTTATTTTGACTAAATATGACCACACGATGATGGCTAAGGTGAAGATATCTGATATAGCATAAGATGTTAGATAATTAGTCTACTTTGGTTAATATTAGTTTTGCCATTAATTTTGGATTAATTAGTACTTAGTATTTTAGATTTAACTCGTTTTTATTAATTTTATTGTAGGACTATAAACAGACCCATTTTGAATTATAAAGGGGCTTTGGAATATTACTTTGAAATAGAACTTTGCTCTTAGAGGGGTTTTCTCAAGTTTTGGAATGGATTTGGCCTAATCACAAATCTGTTTGCATCACTATCAGGGGAGAAACAGAACAATTGTTGAAATTTTGCGAAATATTATCAGATCAGAAAAATTCTCTATGTTCTGCCTTTCCAGTGTTTAGATTGAACACTATTTACCTCGTTGATTTGCCATTCCGCCATTGGTTTTATAGATGTGTTGTCAAGAACGTTTTAGTTTCCAGTTTTGTTATGCCTTTTGAACTTTTTGTGCCTCTCTTCTGGTTTTTGAAATTATATTAAGTAGTTTTCTTCTGCATTACATAGGCCAATGCAGCATCGGGAATGGCTGTGAATGATGATTGCAAACTGAAGTTTTTGGCGCTCAAGGCCAAAAGAACATATCGCTTTATTGTGTTTAAGATTGAGGAGAAGCAAAAGCAAGTTGTAGTAGAGAAAGTTGGCGAGCCAACTCAAAGTTATGAGGACTTTGCTGCAAGCCTTCCTTCGGATGAATGTCGTTATGCTGTCTATGATTTTGACTTTGTTACTGAAGAGAACTGTCAAAAGAGCAGGATCTTCTTCATTGCCTGGTATAGCGAACATCTCCTTAACTGCATTCCTTTCATGTTTTTCCTTTCAATTATCCCGCACATAAGAAAACACCATTGATTATAGGTCCCCTGATAATTCAAGAGTCAGAAGCAAGATGATATATGCAAGCTCCAAAGATAGATTCAAGAGAGAGCTGGATGGATTCCAGGTTGAGCTGCAAGCAACCGACCCAACCGAGATGGGTCTTGATGTCATCCGAAGCCGAGCTGGGTGAATGCTACATTCTGGTTTTCATAACCCGATTTGGCTAAAATGGTATCAATTTCCCTGCACATCTTCTTTTCAAGGTTGAACAAGCGTCCTGGTCCTGGTCCTGGTCCTGGTTTTGTGGTATATGTTTCAGATTTATGTTCTAAATGGCCTTTTGTACGTGTTCGAGCTAATGCACGTCTTCGTGGTTTCTCAACACACACACACACACACATATAACATGCACAATTTTATCCTTCGGGGAGATATTGCAGCAAGATTTTATCAGATTCCAGCTGCTATTCTGCATGTACTACATAGATTAATATACAAGGGGATTGAATATTAGCATTTGATCGATCTTAATGCAATTTGGCTGCCTGTTTTTCTTCAGTAGCGCAAAAGTATTTATTTGCTTGGATTGGAATCATCACTCCACATTGTTAGATGTATATATATATGCACATGACTGTTCTTTCTGTTCTCTTCCTCTCATATGTTTGCTTTTCTGAGTTTAACCATTTGGATAGAGAACTCACTCTTTTCAAGATCATAATGTCTATTCACAGACATATATGTGCTTAGATTCATGTCATTGATTTGTTAGAAATCTGTTCTTTTGCCAGATTTCTGTCAAAACTGTTCATATTCTTAGCCAACCAATTTTGTGTAAAATGCATTTCTTCCATAGACACTGGAGAGTGAAAGTGTTCTTAGCCTTAGTTCATCATGAACCATATAGACAGACTTCAACACAGTTGGCTAGGCTATGCCCAAGCTGGTGCATGGACTTTGGGTTGGTGGGCTATAGAAATTGGGGCTTACCCATTAGCCCAAGGGGGGGAAATAGAGGCTAATTCTAGAAGATAAAGGTAACTTAGTTAATGGATTGAATATCACTATCAAACAATATGAATGGAATGATAACACCAATACTACGGCCTTCCAAGGCCCACAACACCACCTTCCTTAAAATCAAAAACTATGGACTAAAATATAATATTTATATATATTTTCCTAACAACCAAATTATTTAATCTCTCTTAACTCTTTATAAACTTCAGCTTCCTCATGCCTTCGTTTCATACTTTGTAGGATGAATTTATTAAGTTCTTGCTGAAGTCCCACAGTCTCTTTGCAAGTGTTTCGTCTCTAGCGTATGAGCTCGCTCGCTTCTCGTTGCAGTCCAAAAAGTACTTCCCGCTCACTCCCTTCAAGCTCGGGTGGAGTGCCACATAGCATGTTGTCGCTGCCCCCTAAAAAAAATTAACATCGATGTCTTATTACTAAACTATGATGAACATATTATTTGTAATATATATTTCAAAAAATTAATCAAAATAATAATAATAATAATAAGTTGCTCTAATTTACCTGAGGAACATTCTTCCAGATAAAGAAGGAGAAAGCCTGCAAAAGCCCTATAAAGAGAGAGAGAGAGATGGTAAATAACGACATGTCGTAAAATGAAATAAATAATAAAGGGGGGGGGGGGGG